AGGGCAAATTTCATATGAAAATTCATCATCTAAAAAATAGTCTATATGCTAAGCAAACACAAATGTGGTTTATTGACTGCCAATTTTTAATTTTACTATAACGTATTTTTTTACTTTGAGGATGTCAAAACCCTCTAATTCTACTTCCTAATTAATTTCAGTCACCAGAGCTGGCTGGCACTTGTCTCTTTGCCCACATCATGCATACTCCAATTCTTAGTATCTCCACTAATGTAATCCCAATTCTCCCCTTTTCAGGAGCTCTTGAGTGCCAAGAACTCCTGACTCAATTATGATTAGATTACATGGGGAGCATTAGATGAAATAATACTAAAATCGCCAGATGGGAAAGAGAAATCTAGTCAAGTTCCAAAAAAATGCCTACAAAGTTTAACATTATGTACAGCTGTGGATCAATTATTAAAACTGAACAGGGGTGTGGATTTGCAAGAAGCAGTTGGAAAAATAAAAGGGACTTTATTTGACCCACTTTTAACTGTAAGGCGCTCAAAGGGGAAGCAGCTGTGGTCATATTTCATGCTCAATGAACAAGGCATAGTTTTCTCCCTATAAAACTAGTTCATTTTGCCAATTAGTTAGGATAAAATCATTATTAACGCCTTTGGTTAGTTTACTAAATAACAGATACCAGTTATTGATTCCTGTACCCCCATTCCTAAGTTTCTTTTGGATCACCTTGAAAAATAACTCATAAAGAAAGAAAATAACTCATGAAATAGTCAAGAAAAGATTTTTTTTTTGTTTTAAAAGCAATGGAAAACAGCATTAAGAAGTTGAAATTAGAATATGCCAAGTGTTAATGCCAGAACTACATTCCTGCTTTAAGCCCAGAACTTAAGAAGGTTCAAAAAAATGTGATGATTGTCAGTCTTTTCCACATAATTCTTAAGAGTATCTTGTGATTTTGACCTTTTAGATATATAAAGGAAACTTTGACTTTTTTCTTTCTTCTTCTTCTCTCCCTCTGCCTCTCTGCTTCCTCCATTGACTATTAAATTAACTTCTGAAATTCTCTTGCAATTTTATTTTACTTTATCTGGAATGACAGATTAAAAATTTTGAGACACAATCTATAATCCCTAAATCTTAATATGTTCTTCTTTCTGATTTATTTAACTTTAAAAAACAAACAAGCAAATAAAAAAAAAGATGATGGTAACTCTATCATAAAGGCTTTGGAATATCATAAACCATTAAGATTTCCATTGCAATACTCTTATGCACTGATGTAACACAAATGCAACATCTAATTAGCAACATCTTATTAGCAACATCTAATTTACTTAGTGGCAAGAAAGTCATCGTAGTACAAGTTTCAATCAACTCTCAAAATTTCCATTAAATGCATTTAAAAGGGGGTTTGGCAAATGCAAAAATTAAACTTCATGTCTAACCATGTTTTTCAGAAAAAAAGGCCATGGGTTAGTTTATGTATTTCTGACATCCATACCTGTGTCTTTGTGGGGCCTATATCCAGGCCTTGTACAAATTTTTCCAAAAAATTCTTTACTGCATCCCAGGGATAAATACTGTTTGATTCATCACATACAACCACAACATCTATGAGGGAAGGGCAGGCTACACAGGAAAAGAAGAAAGAAGCAGATTTCCATAGGTAAGTCAAACTTCACACCCATATAAAAATGAGACTTAGGGAGGGTTGAGTGGCACTTGTTTATAAATTACACCCTTTCCCCCTTGAACTATAAGATATTGCTCATGTCATCTCTGCATTCATAACTTACTCTGAACTGCAGGTGAAAAGCTGGCCATGAGCTGAAAATCTGGACTGACGTCAGAACACACACCAGTTGTGTAATACTGATTGCCACACTGCTGTGCCCACAGAGGACCACACGTCTTCAAAGAAATGAGAAAACAATAAATAGAAACACATGAAAAATGCTAACCTTCTACCTCTTCATTGTGAAACTCAGAAATTATTTCTATTCTTTCCCAAGATACTAATAATTGTCAACACTTGAAACTAACAAGTCAAAAATGCCTTTGAGTAAGAGTCCACTGGGGCAGGCAGGAGTGATGGAGAAGGTGGCAGATGCTCTGTGCCCAGTGGCAGGCTTCCAGGAAGGGGAGCCAGGGACTGTCAGTGAAAGGAAGAGCCTGTCAGGCGACCCACCAAGCTACAGAAAATGGGTATATGGTGCTTTCCTTCCAGAGAACACCCAGGAGGAGAATGAATGCAAAGTTCACATTTTGTCTCTCAGTCTTCTGGGCCTCAGGTACTTCACCTGTAAAATGAGGATGATTATACCTCCTATCTTTCAAGGTTGTTGTGAAGATTAACTGGGTCTATAGATATAAAACACTTAGAACAATGCCAGGTAAGTAGCAAGCGCTATATAATTGTTAGCCAGCATCATTATCGTGGTTATTGTTGAATATCAGTTTCCTCCAGTTCCTTCCATTCATACACCTAAGTAGAAACCATAAACCCAGTGGCCTCAAAGGCCAGGCAATGACCCTTGAAGGGAGCCTGGGGTTAGGAATAGACATCAAGGTGAATGAAGAAGCCGTGCCTGTGAACAGGCCACTACGGTTCCTGCCCACCCACTTTTGTGCAACAGGCTCTGTGTTGCCAGATTCCCCCATTTTTAAAGGAGAATCAGAGAGGGCAAATTTCATATGAAAATTCATCATCTAAAAAATAGTCTATATGCTAAGCAAACACAAATGTGGTTTATTGACTGCCAATTTTTAATTTTATTATAATGTATTTTTTTGCTTTGAGGATGTCAAAACCCTCTAATTCTACTTCCTAATTAATTTCAGTCACCAGAGCTGGCTGGCACTTGTCTCTTTGCCCACATCATGCATAC